AATTTTTTTGACAATTCTGATAAATATGCCAAGCCCCGGCCTTTACTATGTGAAGACAGTGGTGCATGTAGCCATGACCTAGAGGCACTGAGCAATTCTCAAACGCCTTCTGAATCATTGGAGATGAAGGGATGCTTTGCTTTGTGTGAGGCGTAGCTGGGAAGTGTCTGGCAAGATGGCTCACGAGAATGTAATTTCTATGTCTCTGGGTTTTTGTCATCTACTTTGGGATCCTTAGCACCAACCACCCAGGGAATGAAGTCACTTCATTTCACAGATGATAAAACTGGTGTTTGAGAAAAACACCGAGGGCCTTTGCGTTCCTGTTTTCCCGTAAATCTGATCTTTTCTGGAATTTGATAGAGATTCCTTATCAGGCAAGGGCAATGAACTGGGACCTTGTGCACAGCTACCAGATAGGAGGGCAGCTCATTTCTGGCCCTCTTACCTTTGTACATACCATCTGGCTGCCAGGGCGCCTCCCTGCCTCTTTACTCACCTGGGTGAAGCGTCCCTCCCTGGGCTTAACTTTTATAACCGTATTTACCACATGTTCTTAATATGTATTTAAGATCTGTCTCCTGGATTAGGCCCAAATCTCCATTCACTTAGTTGCTGTGTGAGCCTGGATAGGAGGTCTGCTGATCCGCTTCCTCTGAGCTTCAGGTTACTCATCTGCAAAATGGGGGATTGTAAGAGTAGCTTGATTTTTGGTGAGTAGTAATTGTTCCATCTCAGCTGTTCTTTTTTGAATCTTGGACAATTGGGAACAGCTAAAAAAGACTTGAGCTATTCCAGGGGAGGAATCAGAAGTCTAGATTTCCTTTCCACAAAGCCGAAGAGAAGGCATTTTAAATGGGGGGGTGGGGAGTGGGGTGGGGGATTTTTCAACCTTCCTTTTCATTTCACTGAATCTCTAAGCCCTGGAGGACTGATGGTGGGGCAGGGATGCTCAAGTCCTCCGCCCCCCCGCCCCATCATTCCCTTCATCCCCTCTTCTCGCATTGTGAGTTTAATTAACGCAGTTAACTTTTACAAGGTGCTGTGAAGTAGCTCTGCTGCTGGTGCCAGCCTGGAGGAAATGAATGACATCACTTCTCAGTTTTATGGCTAGGTGTGGGGGGCAGTTCCTGGGCCTCCTCCCTAAGTTTAATTGGGTGCCACCCACCCTTCTGTCTGCCACATTGCATTTGGACACGTCTGACCTGGTTCAGTCCAGACATAAGCACCCTGCACTAATGAGGCAGGGCCTTGCAGGGAGAACCTTGGAGGGTGAACCCACCCCACACTGCTGCCCACCCCTAAGTCACGTGCTGGACCCCAGACTCTGGGAAAGGGTCAGAGTTCACCCCGCATCAGGAGGTTAGATCATTACCTCCTGTGAAGGTAAACACTCAACTGGTATCATGTCCCTTAGCCAAAAAACTCCTGTAGCCCCTGTGATGGAGGATGTGTTGTTATCACTTTAATTCTCATTGGCCTTGTCTCATGCAGAACGCATGCCCTGGACTGCCTGGGCATGAGTGTTGGTGCTGTCACTTTGTTGGGTAACTTAATTCATCTGAGCCTGTTGAGAGCAGATTGATAACAGGACCTGCCTCAGGATGTGGTGGGGGTTAAGAGATGTTTGTACTGCCTTTAGCTCATAGTAGGGACCCAGAATTGTTAACTACAACAGCGGAGTGGCAAGGCATAGTTCAGGAGCTAGTATGCCAGCCACTCTGGAAAAATCTCATAGGAAGGTGTCAGTTTATCTTTTAGTTGGAATGATCATACTATGTATAACAGTTGGCTTGTGTTGAGGGCCACATTATCCTGGAAATGCCAATCTTGAATCACCAGAAGCCAAACTGAGATACATGGGATGATGAGGTGAGGGAGATTTGTATCTACCATTACACACCAAGCTCTGGTGCTAATTTCTTCCTGTTGCCAAGAGTATGTGGTTAAATTTGTGTGTTTTTGTTTAACTTCCCTGGACTCGCACTTCAGGTCACATTGATCGAGTATGTATTATGTTGTTTAACATATCTGTACCTCAGTTTGCCCATCTGTAAAATAGGGACAAGAGTATGTACCACATTTAAGGATTAAATGAGTGAATACAGATAAAGCATGGAAGTAAACACTGGAAAAAAAAAAGACTGTATTATCAGGTGAGAAGATTTGTGTATTTACTTAGGGACGGCCAGATTGTTACTTTCGTTAAGCAGAGGCTTGTGGGAGAAGCCTTTCTGGCTTTCGAGATAAAGTATTTGAAGTCTGAGTAATAAGGAGGCATGTGGTAGGGAGATGGGAGGGCTTGCAGGCTATGAAAACAGCAGTGGTACGCACCTGGAAGCTGGCTTTGTAGAATGTGGACAGGGGAGAGGACCTGAGCTCGGCATCTTTCAATCACGGGTGCAGATTCTAGACACTGGTGTGTGTTCTGGCAGTAAAATAGCCAGGACAGTTAATGTCATTGCAAACCCAGAGTGATGAAAACTACAGAGAAGGAATTTTTAATGAAATAATATTAAATTATGCCACTGGAAGGAGTATTTTACCTGCCCTGCTCACCCCAGGACACCCAGGTGATACTTAAAGCTGATTGGTTTTCATCCCTGAATCTTCCTCCAGGGCCCATGAGTCTGGTTCTAGGGACAGGAGAGTTTTTCTGAATGTCGAGATCTGGCTTTGGGAAGGTGCTCAGCTCACGTGTCTGTCAGGTGGGCTGGCAGCACAAGTTGGCAGTACTGAGACCCTGTGGGGAGGCCTTAGGTAGTTGATCATTGTTGGTTCTGGGCTGCAGGTTCTACCTGGGCCTGTCTAGTGACTGACCCAGTTAAGGGCTGTCTGAGGGAATCCTGTGTCCCCCAGATGAGAGAGAAGTCATGCCCCTTGATTCAGCATCTGACCTACCAGCTCCTGGCTAGAAACCCTATCTACCCCTCTCGCCTCCCTAGAGCTCCCCATGGAACCCTCCTAGTGTCTTGCACACTGGCCCAGCCTCCTATCTCCTGCCAGGTTGCCCAGGTTACTTAGTTCACTGGTTTGGCCTGGGAAGAAATGCAGGAAATTATTACTTTGAATTACACTCCAAGAGTTTTTCTGGGATTCCGGCTGCTTGGCCTTACAGGGATTGGCCACAGGTCAGCCAGCCAGCCTGTTCTACTTCCAGGTCAGCCTTAGGAGTACAAGGGGTGGATCAGGCTGGGCCACGCACTTCTTTCCCCAAGGGCTGGTGAGATTCCTTAATGTGCTGAGAAAAAAGAGACCAGGAACTGTGAATCTTCACGTATCTGGACTTCATGGAGTAAATACTATCTTGTGCTATGTATCAGTGTATACATTTATAACTGGAACAGTGTTTCTTTAACTTGCATATTAGTCACCCAGGGATCTTGGGAAACTGTCTATAGTGATTTAGTAGATATACGATGGTACCGAGATTCTTCAGTTCTAACCAGCTCCTAGGTGATTCCAAGCATGCTGGTCCTTGGGCCATAAGGAAATAGCAGACCTTTAGTTGCCCTACTCCCACACCTGGGGCTGGACTGTTGCAGAAGGTAGATCTGGGATCTCCTCACCACGTGACATTGGAAATCCACCTGGGGGCGCTGTAGGCCCCCTCAGACTGATTCCTACAGCGCCCTCTGGTGGGCATGGCACCAGCGTCACCCCTGCAGCCCCATAGCCTAGATGATGCTTCTAGAAGGTACCCTGAGAGGCTAGCGTTGGGTCATCTGGCTCTGCGAGTCATCTGACCCTACGGGTCATCATGGATTAGAGTCACATCCATCGCTGTGGTAAGTCCCCGAGGTGGAATGCAAGGGCCAGGAGTGCTTAGTGCCCATAGGCAGCCGTTTGCTGGGGAAGCTTTTCCTAAGCAGGGTTCCAGGCCATTAGAGTGAGGCACCAAATACCTCTGGAGCTGTTCGAGGGAAACTTAAGAAATAGGAGTCTGCAGGCCTCACTCTGTACCTAGGCTCTAATTTTGCCTTGGCACCCCCTCTTAGATGGGATTTTTGGCCTTGACCACTAGTCATGTCTGTGTCAGTTTTCCTTTTCTATAAAATGGGCCCACAATGACATTTGGAGTAAATGAGAGGAAGGTGCAGGTTCTTGCAGTCAACGAATGTTGTAGGCAGTGGGCCAGGTTGAAGTTCACACAGCCCTTCCACCTATGGGTGAAGACCTGGCCTGAGCTACTCTTAGCTGAATAACCCAGTGATGATGCAGTTTATAGGAGGGGCAGCAGTGGGGAGACAAAGGCCCTGAGTGGGATGAGGTTAGAGCAGATGGGCAGCATGCCCCCTATTAACTGCCCCAGTCCTTTGCCTGTGCCTCCTCCATCCTTTCCCTTCTTGGGAACTTGGGACTCTGAGCCCTAGCTGGTGAGGGAGGAGGGGAGTGAGTGACAGGCCAGCAGACCAATGGGTCCCTGAGGTTGGGGTTGGGCGGGGCTTGTGCTGCCATGGAGAGGAGAGAAGCTGTTCTGTGGGGGAGGAGGGGGCGGTGGGAAAAGGACCTGGAGATTGAGGGGAAGGGAGAGAGCAAACAAAGGGGTCAGGAGGGAAAATAATGCACTGGCTTCCTGAGGCCCTGAGGAGGCTGGGCAGGGAGAGGGGGCCAGGGGCAGAGGGGACCAAGGCTGGCGGCAGGCAGGCCGGGGCAGGCGGTTCCTAAATGGCATTGTTTGAAGTGGCCGGCTAATTGCACAGAGCAGCCTGAGCCTCAGACCACAGCCCAGCCCCCTCCTCTGTCCTGGGTGCTGGCATCTGAGCCTTCGGGCCGCCTGGCCACATGGAACCAAGTCCTGAGCTTCCGAGTTTGGTGAGGGGGCAGGCTATGGGGGGCAGTCTGGGCGGGGTCCTCGGGCAGGGGTATCATCCCAAGAATATGTCCCGGGGCTTCTCTTGGCTTGAGGACATAGAGCCATAGGTGGGAAGTTTGGGGATATGCTGCCTGCCTCAAGCCCTTGCTTCCCTGCTACCCCATTCATTCTGGCCCTCCTGCAGGAAACAATGAAGGGAGACACCAGACAACTCAACAGAGAGGAGGACGCCAGCGGGAGGGAAGACTCCATCATCACCAATGGGGGCTGCAGCGACCAATCTTCCGACTCCAAGGACGCACCCTCACCCCCTATCCTGGAGGCTATCAGCACCCCGGAGATCAGAGGTGGCCGGGCCTGTGGGGAGGAGGGGTGTGGCAGTCGCTGGGGACCACAGCTGGGACATGAGCCTTCCTCCGAGCAGGCTGCAGGCAGGCTGTGGGGAGAGCATCTGGTCCCTGACAACCTCTGCCACCCCCCGCCAGGAAGGTGAGAGGTTATAGGCAGAGCAAAGTCCATTCCTCATCCCTGTCACAGGCCCTGACCCTCCCTCCTTTCCTCTCACCTCAGCTGGGACTCAGGTGATGATCCTTGTCCTCTTCCAGTCACAATGGGGGTGGTCATAGCATAGGCTGTGGGGTCTTTGACCCCATCTGCTCACAACCGGGACTGTGATTATGCAGAAAGAAACACTCAGGCTGGAGGGGTGGAGGCTTGCTTCCTTTCCCAGCCTCTCTTCCCAATTCCCAGGTCAGATCACCTGGGATCCTCCTCCTGAGATATACTGACACAGCTGGTTAAAAAGACCCTGTATTGTCCCATCCTGTTGTTGAGCACTCCTTCAACTGTGCTGTCCAATAGAACTTTCTTCGAGGGTTAGCATTTGTTCTGTTTCTGCATCGTTCGCTACAAATAGCCGCTAGCCATATGTGAGCACTTGAAATGTGGCTGATGTGCCAGGCACTGGATTGTTCATTTAAGTATAGTTAGTGGCCACTGAATTGGGCAGCACAGTTCTGGAAGGAATCTGATGCCTTCTGTCACAAGAAGCATCAGTGTTGCTTTGGGTCCTAATATGTGCCTGGCCCTGCGCACTATTACCTTATGAGTACATTGAGGTGACAATAGTTACTGAGGGGAAAGGAGTTAACCCCTGAGGATGCCAATGGGCTTACTGAGATCTCAGGCTTTAGGCCAGAGAGGAGACCATCAGCAAAGGAAGACATGGCTACCACCCAACCTGGCGGCCGTCCTTACAAAGCACAGACTCTGCTTCTCCTTTCCTTCACAGGCCGCAGATCAAGCTCACGATTATCCAAGAGAGAGGTCTCCAGCCTGCTAAGTTATACTCAGGTATGGGTTCTACTTTCCCCTTTTCAGGGTTCAGGAGAATTCTCTTCAGCTTTCATTAAATGGGAACATGAGTCCCATCTGTACTGGTGCCCAATAAATACATGTTGAAGGACAAATTTGAATATTGCTAGGCACACAGAGGACTTTGAACAACCTCACTTAGGATGGCATTTGCTGCTGTTATATGCCAACTATTTTGAAATCATAGAAACTTATTTTACTAAATTAAGCACTTTTTACTAGATGCTTTTTGCACATTTTTTGAAATTATTTTCTCAATCTGGATGATCAAAAATTAAATTTCTAATGTAGCAAGCTGTCCTTTTATTCCTGGAGTGAGTCCAACTTGGTCATGGTATGTTTTGAATTCGATGTGCTTTTTAGCATCTATTCATGAATAAAATAGATGTGTGATTTTATTTCTTGTAATACTCTCTGGTTTTGATGCACATTGGAAAGAACTTGCTTAGCTTGTTTTAGGGATTTTTTTTCCCCGCAACCACCGTAATATCTTTTAATATGTGTTGCAATATTAAGGCTTCTGCTCGATCAGTTTTTTCCCCAAGTTACAGTTTTTCCATGTTTTTTTATTCCTGACATATTTATGCCTTCTTTTTTTCTTATTAACCATTCTAGAGTTTTGTCAGTTTGGTTGCTTTTTTCAAAGAACGAGTGTCACTCATTGGGGACAAAATCATGGATTAGAGTCACAGACAAGTGAAAGCTAGACCTCACAGTTTCTGTTCTGCTGGAGGGCAACCAACCAGTGGGCACCAGACGATGGGGACAGTGTGCGTGCTGGATCAGAGGCCCAGGACACCTATTCTGGTTAGATAGTTACCAGTAACAGTAATGAAATCTGAGCATTTCCTCTGTGCCCAGCCTTGGGTGATGCAAGCTTTGATTCTCACTATATCCCTGTCATGTCCTAATGGAAGTACTATTGTTCCAGTTTTAAAGAGAGGAATAGACTCAAGGCCACACAGTTGGCAAGTGTGAAAAGTCAAGTTCTTAACACTCCATCCAGACCTCGGGCCATTCACCGCTGCTCTAGTTTTTGTGCTCAGTTTTTTTTGGGTTTTGGTGTGGTGTGCTACATGGGATGCGCAATAAGGGGGTCTTTGTGACTTCACACAGAATTGGTGCCATTTCTTCCTGGTCATTGTATCAGGAAGCATCTCCTTTGACCCTACAGTTTCTCTCAGATGCTGTTAATTGTGAAAATTGAGCAGGTTTCCCTGCCAGGCATAGCCACATCAGTCTAAGGTGTAGATACAAAAGAAACCTTCATGATGCATATTGCATTCATACCATTTCTTGGTTTTCTGATTCCACTGGGATTTTATCTTTCAATCATGTCTTGAATTCACGATCCCATGGGGCGAGGTATTGTAAAATCTTTTTGGAACAAAATAGGGTAGTTAAATATTTTTAGGTCTCTTGGACCAATATTAAGATTGTTTTCCATATGACTGGCTGTTCATTTCTAAACTATTTTGGTTATATGATTTTATGACATCCTGAAGCTCATAATGTTTCCTTTATAAAGGACCTGACGGGCGATGGAGATGGTGAAGGGGAAGATGGAGATGGCTCTGACACTCCAGTGATGCCAAGACTCTTTCGTGAAACCAGGACTCGGTCAGAAAGCCCAGCTGTAAGTCCCCACCCCTAAGCCAAGGCACCTCCAACTACTCATACGCCTGTATAAAAAAATCATGTCTTGGATTTCCCTGAGGGGAACTTTGAAGAGAGAGGTGAGCAGCTGTTTTGAAATTGGAAAAATGACAGCAAGGCTCATGAACTATCATTGTGAAAGTTTTCTTTCACATGGCAATTTTTAAACTCTTTTTTTTTTTCTTTTAGAACAGTCTTAAAAGTGCTCCGGGGTGATAGAATTGGCAGATGGATGGCTCAGTGCCAGTTACCTATGGAAGTCACTTCTTTGGGTAGATTCTGTGACTTTGTTAGTGATCCGGAAATGGGAAGGCATTTATTTATTTATTGCTCATGGTCACCTAGTCTGCTGGAGAGCTGGCTAACACTTGTGACCATTGCAGGTGCAGTTTATAACCACACTCTGCTAGGACATGATGTATACCATCTTCTTTTTTACAGATGAGAGAAGAGTCCAGTAACGTACCCAAGGTTCAACATTAACTCTTACGTGTAGGATTTGAACACAGGTCTACAACATTAAAGCTCATGCCATTTAGAGAAAAAAGCCTAAGGGCTTCTCATCCATCTTGAGGATCCAGTACTTTGCTGAAGAATGCAACAATCGTTCTAATGCTTTTTGGAAAAAAAAATGGTTTAGAGTAAACTTGGATTTTATTTTTCAGTTCAATTTGCAGGTGCCAGTTTCAGCTGTGACAGGCAGTGAGATCTGCTATGGATTGTCCGGCAGCCCTGCTGGCCACCCTGACCCCTTATTGCACAAACTGGGGAGTTTTTGGTGGGCAGTTACCAGTCCAGAGACCCCTTCCCCCACTTAATCACCTCATGCACTTTTATTGATCTGTCCTCGGGCCCCTGCCCGAGACCTCGTGCCTGCAGTCACCAAAGGCCTCGTGCTTATCCTCTCTTGCTTTCAGGTCCGAACCCGAAATAACAACAGTGCCTCCCGCCGGGAGAGGCACAGGCCCTCCCTACGTTCCACCCGAGGCCGGCAGGGCCGCAATCACGTGGACGAGTCCCCCGTGGAGTTCACAGTTACCAGGGTTGGTTCCCCAGATGGTCAGACCCCTGCATCCCCATCTCTGATTGGAAGATCTTCCTGTCACTGTACCACGGAAAGTGGCCAGTGTATAACCCTAACCTGCTTCTGTTCTTCACACTCTTCTCCTTTTCAGGGTCTTGCCTTTCCTTTCTCTCCTGGGTGCTGGGTAAGCTTCTCTTAAGCCTGATGACTTCTCTTCTGGCCTGATCCTGGGTGGAA